GGGGAGGGTGGCCAAATTTTCGAGCTGGATCCCAGGCCTTTCTTTTTCTTTACAATTTTGTATGTTGTGCCCACCAGCCCAGGGCTGGTGGAAGGGGTCGGGCCAGGGGTCAGGGGAGAGTTGCTCTCGCCTGGCCCGACTCTTTAAGAGGCACTGATGTAACCATCGGACACTGCCTCAGGTGGGGGCGCAGGAGGAGGAGGAGGAGGAGGAGGAGGAGGAGGAGGAGGAGGAGGAGGAGGAGGAGCGAGGATGAGGAGGGAGGAGGAGGGGAGGAGGAGGAGGAGGAGGAGGGGCAGGAGGAGGAGGAGGAGGAGGAGGAGGAGGAGGAGGAGGAGGAGGGTTGTGTGGTGAAGCGCTCAGAGTTTGTTGGCGCTTTGGCTTGTTGGCGGGGCCAAGCTGCCTGGAGATGTCCGCTCTGGGTGGGTGCAGGGGTCGCTTTGTGGTCACCTCTGATAGTAGCGATCGGGGGGATGTGGTGGCTGGGAGGAGGCGAAGGAGGAGGAGGGGAAGGACGATGGGGCGGAGGAAGGGAGGGCACCTCCAGCCATGATGTCCAACTGTCGAGAGCACGCGAGCCGCGGGCCTTCCTTGCCAGGGGGTTAAACAGTTGATCCTGGGAAGCCCGAGGACACGCATAAGGAACACCATACTTATCTTCACCCCCTGCTGTCCCTCTTTGTCTGAGGAGGCCGGAGGCCTCCGGACGCCTCCCGAGGTCACGGGAGACCTTCGCAGGTTCTCGGAGGTCTCCGGAAGCCTCCATAGGTGTCCCCACATGCCTCCAGAGTTCCCGTAGCCCCCCAAAGGGTTGCAATCGTTCAAAAACCTGCTCCTCGATCCTCGTGGCGCATTCCTGCCTCTGCGTCTAGTAGTGCTTCTCGCATAGTTAGAGTCATGACCCACTCTGTGGCTCTTCCACTTCCCAGACTCGAGGGGCGCCTTGGTCTTCACAGCGATGGGATGGCCCCATGCTCGGAGAGATTTGCGGTGCCGCCACGCCGCTGAATGCCGTTTGTTCGCCTTCGGTCTACAAGATGTGCGCGACAGTGGCAATGGCGCGCGCGATCCAGACAAGACTGGCGCATTTTGTCGTATCGGTGATGCTTGAGGCTTCGGTGTCGTGGAATAAATACGATAACACCGATGAGTGCATGGGATAGCAGCCTCACTTCACCAGTGCTGCAGTGCCCTTTGCTTCTGCTAGCCCTGGCCCAAGTTTTTCTTAGAGTGCGCTGGCTGCACTGGCCGCTGCTGCGGTGATCGCAGGGGACGCGCCTGAGGTAATGATTTCAGCTTTCCCCGGCCCCGGAGTGGCTCCTGGTGGAGCTGTGGCGCGTCATGTTTTGGATAGAAACCCGGGCCAGTTGGCTTTGCAATGTGTGCCCTCCTGCTCATCCCCCTTCTTTTCTTCCTTCTGCTGCCATTCCTCCTCCTCTGTCGCTCACGTCTCTCAAATCCTCGCTGTTCACAGGGGCATTTTGTTTTCCTCCACCTGTGGAGCCGTCCGTGCGAACAGTCCTCGGAAGCTGAAGGACATCTGCAGGCCACCCTCGGTTGAAGGGCTTGATGTTTTTTTCCAGATTGTCCCGAGGATCGCCACCAAAGTCAGGAACGGTCACCCCTGTGCGTGACTAATGGTTTGTGTTTACGCCCAGTCTTGCAACTGGTCGCCGCACCTTTGACCGAATCCGAAGCCGACCATTTCCTCTCCGTAGCTACCCTCCTAACCTGATTATCTTCTTCACCTAGGCTCCTCCTGCTGTTGCCACGTTTACTCGGCCACCGCCGACCCCTGCTGGGGAAAGACACCATTGTGCTTCTCTGCGTTCTGGATGCGTCGATGTGGTTACGTGGGCATTCCCCCCCCATAGGCTCGCCGCAGCTCGTCGCATCCTGGAAGCCCATTTGCTCCTCGTCCTCTTCGTTTTCTCTCTGCTCCTCCTCGTCCTCCAGTTGCTTTCTCTTATCCTCTTTCTTCTCCTCCCCCGTCCACTGCGAGTATTGAAGGGGCTGTCGTCTTTTCCTGTCGCTTTCCAAGCCCAGTTGCTCACGTCCTGCGTCACTGGCCGTCTTCGCGCTGTGGTGCCCGAAGCTGCACGCCAAGATACGGATGCGCAGTGGGAGGTGCTGATGCAGGGCGTGTCCACCCCGTTCCTGCTTGTGGTCGCGTTCGGTCTCTTGGTGAGCATCTTGGGCCCAACGGTGGGGAACTGCTCGGTGCTGGGCATGCCACGGATGCCCGCAGCAGGGGTTCGCACACGCAGGTGGAGCCGATGGCGTTTTTCAGGTGCAGCGTTGATCCCACGGACGAAGTGGCAGAGTGACGGGCTCGGCAGCGGAACTTCTATCAGAGTCCGCTTCGGGCACAGCGCGCCCGAGGGCACAAGAGCCAGAAAGCGAGGTCGACGATGGCAGCACCAAGCCCATGTGGCAAGGGGGTGCGCATGGGAGGACAGAGTAGCAGATATGGTAGATGGTGGGTGGTGGTGAACCGCGGCGTTTCATGTTCGTGAGTCGTAGCATGCAGTATGCGTCTTCGTACATTCATGCTTGGTGGTGTTTCGTGCACGAGATTCTTCGTTGCTGCGCGCTTGAGTGTACTGTTGTTGTGCCAAAAGTGTTTTTTGTGTCAGATTCTACGCCGTCGCTGTCGGTCTTGCCAGTGCTGTGCGTCCGTTGTGTGTGTGTGTGTGTGTGCGTGAGTGTTTGCGATTCGCTTTCCTGTTTCTGCCATGCCCTCTCGACGAAAGTGTGTGTGTGTGCGCGCGCGCGTGTGTGTGTGTGTGTGAGAGAGAGAGAGAGAGTTGTTCGCTTTCCTGTCTCCGCCATGCCCGCTCGACGGGAGCTGGGCATCCCAGCCGCCTGCTCCTTCTGCCGCTTCTCCCCTCGGACTCCCTTTTGTCCAGACGGCCCCCGCCTGTGGCCGTCGGGCGTTCTTCGCCTGCCCGCGGCTGAGCGCCCGCCGTCGGCAGCCTCCGGAGGCCCTCGTCGCCACCGCCGGATTCGCCCCGAAAGTCTGGTCAGAACGCACCCCGGGAGAGGTCCGGGGAGTAGCGGTATCCTCGCCGGGGCGACCCTTGGTGCGGTCCCAATTTGGGCCTCCCCCGATCGCCGAACGCGATGCGACAGCAGCGTCTTCCGCGCTCGTGTTTGGTCCCCCCCGCGGCCCGCCGAATGCCGCGCACCGAGGGCCATTTTTTTCTACTTAACAGCTTTTGCTGATAGGTTTCTAGTGGGGTCAAAAGAGAGCATCTGGACTCCACAGGGGGGTCTGGGCGGGTGCCAGGGAGGAGGGCCGGGAACAGAGCCGGGCTCGTTTTAAGCCAACAGTCACACACTTCGTGCTCTTCGACCTCCCAGAACTCTTCCCGGGCCACATTTTGAATAACCGGAGCCAACAGTAACACACTTCGTGCTCTTCGACCTCCCAGAACTCCATTCCCGGGCCGCATTTTGGATGCCCGGAGCCAACTGTAGGCCACTTCGTGCTCTTCGAGTTCCCAGAACTCCATTCCTGGGCATGATTTTGAATGCCCGGAGCCAACTGTAGGCCACTTCGTGGTCTTCGAGTTCCCAGAACTCCATTCCTGGGCATGATTTTGAATGCCCGGAGCCAACTGTAGGCCACTTCGTGTTCTTCGAGTTCCCAGAACTCCATTCCTGGGCATGATTTTGAATGCCCGGAGCCAACTGTAGGCCACTTCGTGTTCTTCGAGTTCCCGGAACTCCATTCCTGGGCCATTTTGAATGCTGAGGCAGGCTGATGCTGCGGCCGAGGCAGGCTGAGGCTGAGGCAGGCTGAGGCTGAGGCCGAGGCTGAAGGCAGACTGAGGCTGAGGCTGAAGCAGACTGAGGCTGAGGCTGAGGCTGAGGCTGAGGCTGAGGCTGAGGCAGGCTGATGCTGAGGCAGGCTGAGGCTGAGGCCGAGGCTGATGCAGCTTGAGGCTGAGGCAGGCTGAGGCTGAGGCAGGCCGAGGCTGAGGCTGAGGCAGGCTGAGGCTGATGGCTGTGACTGAGACTGCCGTTGCCGCTGCGACTGTCATCGCGAATGCGACTACGACTGCGAGAACAACAGAATTCTACAACTGGATTCTCATCTGAATCTTAAGGGGAATGCTTCCAGATATGCTCCTACACATCGCTGTTAGGTTGCTTTGCCGGGATATTTTTTTTCTACCCAGGGCCGCTCTTGCTCGCAGACGATCTCCGCACCCCTTCACGAGGGCGCCGTCTCGAGGCAGACGTGGCCCGCTGCGTCGCTTCCGTGGCCCGAATCTTAAGGGGAATGCTTCCAGATATGCTCCTACACATCGCTGTTAGGTTGCTTTGCCGGGATATTTTTTTTCTACCCAGGGCCGCTCTTGCTCGCAGACGATCTCCGCACCCCTTCACGAGGGCGCCGTCTCGAGGCAGACGTGGCCCGCTGCGTCGCTTCCGTGGCCCGGGCTCAGCCGCAGCTGCTCGCTGGAGGAGCACGTGTGCGTGTGCGGTTGGACTGCCGACAATCGTGCTTTCCCCACGCGTCATCGACCGGTGCGCCTCTGGAGTGGCTCCGGTACGTTACTCGTCGCCACCCTCAGCAGGAGCAAGGATCGGGGGGGATAGGCATAGGGGGGGATGCATCGACCCCCAATCGCCCATTGATCGCCGATAGGGGAGCGATAGGCCCCATCTGCCCAGGAGTGTGCGGATTCGCTATTCCCCCCTATGCCTAACCCCCCCTATCGTTGCCCCTCCCACTCTGGCGGGCATTCCCACGCTCCTGCCCAGCCTGGAGCACGGGTCCCCCCTGGGGACTCACCGCTCGCGCCGCGTCTCTGCCCGCGCCTGCTCGTCAGGGGCTTCCTTGCCGCGTATGTCTCGCAGTGTACCTACGTGTGCCTACGTTCGCCGTTGCTCCGAGCCAGGCGCAGTTGATGCATCGCTCGCCCCCGGGCGTCCGTGGACGGCGTCCTCGTGTGCAGCCTCCCGCGCTCGTCTGGCCCCTCCACGCTCTGGAGCTCTCGCCCCCCCAGGTGGCCGCCATATGCAGCAGACGGGCTCTGAGGGAACGGGGCCTGGAGGCTTTCCGCTCCCTTTGGCGTCCCTGGGCCCTCGCCGCCAACAAACATCTAGGCCTCCCGGATGGGGTCCGAGTAGATGGGGTCGGAGGATCGCGCCGCATCGCTGATGCATCAGCGATGCGGCCCGATGCGGAGCCCGATTTTCTCCACGCCGACGTCGCCGATGCGTCGCCGACGTCGGCGATGTATCGCCGATGCATCGGCGACGTATCGCCGATGTATTGCCGATGTGGCGCGCTCCTCCAACCCCATCTACTCGGACCCTACCTTGGAGGCCTCTAAAACACCGACTCAGGACGAAGAGCTGGTCCAGTCGTACGGACACGTTCCGCGCGGGACTTCTCCGAAAGAACGCCCCGTGTCCGCGGGGGTCGCGGCTCAGGGGCCCGCCCCGCCAGGCCGCGGATACGGATATATGTTTTTTGCCCACCGTGGTATCCGTGAGCGTGTCCGTTTTGACAATGCTTTCTACAACGTTGGACCTATCGGTTTTCGGTGTCGAGAAGAGCCTGAGCGAGAGCGCTCACCATGGTACGGGCCATTCTTTCACCGACAGGGAGCTCGTTGCGCTTGTCGGCGGCGGAGTTTTGAGAAGCGGGTGTCTCAGGTGTTGCTCGTTCTCATCACGATCGCAATGGCGGTATTTGTTCTGGTTCGGCTTGCGAAAGTTCAAGGCCCAGCGAACCCTGCTGCGTGCCTCTCAATCTCTCCCTCCTGCTCTCTCTCTCTCTATCAATAGCGATGTCTCTCTACCTTTTTCTTTCTATCTCTCTCTCTCTCTTCTCCATGGTTCTATGCACGTTTTCTCCTCCCTCTCTCTCTCTCTCTCCCGTCGTCGTCGTCGCCTTTCTCGTCGTCGTCGTCGTCTTCGTCGTCGTCGTCGTTCTCTCTTTCTCCCTCTTTGTCTCTCTCTCCATCTCACTGTCTCTCTCTCTCTCTTTCTTTTTTCTTTTCTCTCTCTCTCTCTCTCTTTCTTTTTTTGTTTCTCTCTCTCTCTCTCTCTCTTTCTTTATTACGTATGTTTTCTTAATTATCTCTCTTTCTCTTTCTGTCTTTCTCTCTGTCTCTCTCTCTCTTTCTCTTTGTCTATCTCTCTTTCTTTCTCTCTTTCTTTCCTTCTTGCCTGGGTAGAGCAATCCATCCCGGGACACATGTTTTTCCTCGTGGGCCTCGAACGGACATCGTCAAGAGTGGGAGCGGAACGTATGACTACGGTTCTTTTGATGTGCGGATCCAATTCGGCGTCCAATGTAAGGGGGGATTTGATGCCGGTCAGTGTGGATCTACAATTCGTTTCCCCCAGATCTCGTGTCCATGGCGCTTGTCCTGACGGATTCGTTTTCTGGTTTGTGCTCAAATGTATGGTATCACATTCAAGCGGAGGACCAGACGTAAATCATACCCAGGGCCCCAAACAGAGCGCGCCCGCCTGAAGAATCTACCCGGGCGGGGGTTTCGGTTCTTAATGTCGCGGTTCGCACTCCAAGAGGATTCAATTTCGACCCTGGCAGGCAGAGAGAGAGAGAGGAGGAAGAGAGAGAGAGAGAGAGAGAGGAGAGAGAGGAGACAGAGAGAGAGAGGGAGAGAGAGAGAGGAGAGAGCGGGAGAGAGAGATGAGAGAGAGAAGAAGAGGGAGAGAGAGAAAGAAAGAGAGAGAGAGAGAGAGAGAGAGGAAGAGGAGGGAGGGAGAGAGAGAGAGAGAGAGAAAAAAAGAAGAAGAGGGAAGAGAGAGAGAGAGAGAGAGAGGGAGGGAGGGAGGGAGAGAGAGAGAGAGAGAGAGAGAGAAAGCGAGGGAGAGAGAGAGAGAGAGAGAGATCGAGAGCGGGAGAGAGCGAGGGAGAGAGCGAGGGAGGTGCAGAGGGCGGGGCAGCATGGGGCGCTGCACGCGCGGGACGGCGGGCCCTCCGCGGCGGCAGGGGGCACGACGGGCCTCCACCGTCTGCCCAGCCCCGCGTGCCCGGAGCTGCCACGCGCAGAGAGAGGAGGCAGCGCAGAGCAGCGGTGGCCGCTCGCCTGTCCTCTCCCCCGAGGCAGGTCGAGTGGCGACCAAGGCACGCTGCGCACGGGGAGGTGGTCCTCCTCCTCCTCCTCCTCCTCCTCCTCCTCCTCCTCGTCCTCCTCCTCCCTCTCCTCCTCCTCCTCCTCCTCCTTCCTCCTCCTCCCTCCTCCCTCCTCCTCCTCCCCTCCCTCCCTCCTCCTCCCTCCCCCTCCCTCCCTCCCTCCTCCCCCTCCCTCCCTCCTCCCTCCCTCCTCCCTCCCTCCTCTCCTCCTCTCTCCTCCTCCTCCTCCTCCTCCTCCTCCTCCCTCCCTCCTCCTCCTCCTCCTCTCTCCTCCTTCCTCCTCCTCATCCTCCTCCTCTCTCCCTGGTCCCTCCTCCTCCTCCTCCTCCACGCAGGGTCTGGGACCCTGGTCTGGGAAGTCGTCACGCGCGTCTGGGAGCGCAGGCGCCCCGCAGTGTCTGCCTGCGGGGCGCACGGTGCCAGACGCGCGGGAACGTGCGGGCGGGCCAACGCCAGCAGCACCGCTCGCGGCCGAGGTGCTCCGGCAGACTCGTGGATACCGCGCGCCAGGCCCCCGAGCACGGACGAAGAGGCCGGGGAAGCGGGTGGCCATCTGTCTGGCTGGGCGCCTGGACCGGTGGGCAGTGGCGATCGCAGTGCGCGGCGCAGGTGCTGGCACGGCGGACGGGTGTTGACAATCCGCCCAGGTCCCCTGCATGAGAGCGTGAGAGGAGGGAAGCGCGACATGCCTGGCCGCTTGCCCCCCCCCCCCCCCCCACCCTGGCAGGCGAGCAGCAGTCTGCGCCTCCCCGTCGGAAGAGGCTCGGCGCAGGCAGCAGACGACAGCGGGGCGCTCCGCGAGTGCCAGCTGACGCGCCCGCGTGCAGCCCACCAGCTTTGAGTGACTTGCGAGGACGTCTTGGTAGGCAGCGCCGTTCCCGAGTGCTTGGCGGCGTGCCACGGCCCGGTTCAGGAGTGGCCCGCGGCTGGGCCACGGCCGCCTGCGTGGAGCCGAGCGCCCAGGTCCCGTGCCCCCCACACGGGCTGCTGGGTGTCCAAAAATGCAGAAGGGCCAGGCATCTGGCATGTCCGAGAATGCCAGAAGTCCGTTCCATCCTCCACGGTCCGCGTATCCCCACCAGCCCGCCCCAGGTCAATCCGCAGGCGAGTTGCCCTGATCAGAGGCATGTAGCTGAGCGCAGACTCAGAGATCTTCGGAGCTTTTCTGGAGCTCCTCGGGAACTTCTGGCGGGGGTGGAGGGGGAGAACATGCTGCCGCGCACGAAAACGATGCCAGTGAGAAGTGCCAACGGTGAGGTTATGGTGCCTCTTGTGATCTTGAGCCGGCTATGATTCCCACTCGTGCCCACCCCGTCCCGTCTTGAAGGACTTCGCATCTGCTTACGGTGGGGTTGTTGGTTAAGGAATAGTCCCAGGAGGCGCCAGACCCTGGAGGATTCCTTATTCAATGAGGGCGGCGGTGATCTCCATGGCCGATCCACGATTGGAGTTCCACTGGCTTCCCGACCCCGGCGCACCGTGGCGCTCCTCTCTGGCCAGGTCTGTGATGGCCCTTGCCGTGGGGAGGGGGGAGGGATGCCTGCGAAGGGCAGTCAGCGCAACTTGAACCTCCCTCCTCCTCCTCCTCCTCCTCCTCCTCCTCCTCCTCCTCCTCTGCGTCCTCCTCCTCCTCCTCCTCCTCCTCCTCCTCCTCCATCTCCTCCTCCTCCTCTCCTCCTCCTCCTCCTCCTCCTCCCGCGGCCCAGGCACAAGGGAGCCTTTGATGGAAAGGAGCGGGGGTTCCACAGGCGGGGGGTCACGCCGCAGCCGCCGCCACCTCGCGGCGTCACGGCCCCCGTCGAACACCTCGCTCCTGCTCCCCTGTGGAAGCCCTTCGAGAGGCAGCACGAACCGTACGGACGCACCCCCCGCACGGCCCGAAACGGCCACCCAGCACCCAAATCTAGCAAACGTTCGGCGTCAAGATGAACCACCGAGTTCCAGCCTCGGGTCGTGCTGATACCACTCGTGCTGCTGCACCCACTCGTACTAGTATTCCCAGTCATGCTGACAATACGCCTGCGTCGCCGTGGTGCTGCAGACCCCGTCGTGCTGGTAGTATTCGTGCTGTTGCTCGCTTGCGTACTGCTTGCCGGCGAGTGCTTGCTGGATGGATGGTGGTGGTGGTGGGGGTGCGGGGCGGTGGGGGTGGAGGGAGGTCTGGAGAAGGGGGGAAGGGGGGGTGCAGGGTCCAACCCTTTGCGGAACGCCCCTTCCAGACCCAGGGGGAGGGGTTATGGGGGAGGGGGAATCCTTCACGAAGGGGCAGAAAGGGGCTTGCAGAACGAACTCCCTAGACCACTCACGCCCAGAGGGCTGGTGGGATCCTTAATGTTTCGCGTATCCCCGCCCATCTAAGAAACAATCGCCGGTCGAACATCTCCAGGAGCCTGTGTGGAGCTCTGCGGGAAGTTTGAGTACAGGGGCTTTGGAGAGGGGGTGGAGCCAGGGTTCAGTGGGGGTGGAGGGGGGGATCGGGCGGAGAGGTGGTGGAAGGGGAGGAGGGGCAAGGATCAGGCGATCGCAAACATGGATTAAGGGGGCGTGGATTTGCGACGGGTCCCGTTTCCACGGGAAATCGCGGATTTCCGCCGACGAACGAGGCGGCACCAGCCGTATTTTGGGGAGGGCACCTCCCCCGATCCGTGGATTTGGCGACCGCGCGCCAAATCCATGGATCGCTAATCCATGTTTGCGCGCCCCCGAAAGGAGGGGGGGAGGGGGGGTGGTAGGAGGGTCCAACGCCTCGCGGAATGCTCCCTCCAGATCTAGGGGGGAAGGGGGTGTGGGGGAGGGGGAATCCCTTGCCCGAAGGGGAAGAATGGGGTTAGCAGAACGATCTTCCCAGACCGCTCACGCACAGAAGTCTTGTTG